AAATAAAACTAGTTTATTCTTTCTCAATTCAACTTTACAATAAACTTAATTTCCACAGTCACCTTATTAACTTAAACAGATGCTATAATTTACAATGAACTATTCACGTACTTTATTTCCTACCGCGCTTGACTCAATTGTCCGTCTATATCTTCAATCTCTCTGTCTGCTATACAATTCCGATTAATTGTCTGGCGCACTTATATACAAGAATAGAGGGTGTCTAGCAAATACTGGGTTATTCGTGATGTTCCCGATCTTTCTTGAACTCATTACGTGTTACCAGCGTCACGTGACTTCCGCTGTCGTAAAACTTAGTAGCTAGCGTGTCGGGTATCTTTGTATACTTTTTCATTTAAAACGAATATTCGAGATCCGTTTCTTTGTTAGAAAGATTAAAATTAGATTCATGTTTGAATTCCAAAACAGTAATCCATTTTTTATATATTTTACACACCACACACGATTAATATGAATATCGTTGGAATATGATAAAGATTTAATCAAATTGTTTTTAAGCAACATTAATTATTTTTGTAATAAAAGTTTTATATATTTCTTTGTCGAATAAAAAAACGTATACAGTGTAAATGGGGCATACTGAAAACATTGTTTATGATTGCAATGATATTTCTTTGATTACCCATGACGATTTGTTCTAATTTTATTTACAACATCAGTGGTCCCAAGTTAGAATACAGAAAAAAAATTCTTTTACTTTAATATTTAACATTAATTATGACTGTATCAAAACTGAGTATAGCTACATAAGCACCCTTGTCACGTACTAATTTAAAAAGTATATAGAGTTTAAAGATTTAAAACGTGTTTTAATTTTTGGTTATAACAGAAAACCACATTTATTACTCGATCGTTTCGTTTCGTTTTATTGTCAATTATACTTTCTAGCAGCTAGAGAACTGTCAAGAGGTATTAATAACTATGTCCAGTCCAGAAAATGTTAAACTAGTCAAGAGGATGCTGATAAAATGTGCAGATATCTCCAACGCCGCCAGACCTACGAAACTATGTGTTGAGTGGGCCACCAGGATAACAGAAGAATACTGTAGACAGGTTTGTTCCATTATCCGCTCCGCCAGTGAAACAGTTGTGAACTTTAAGGGTTTGTTATTACTCTATTTTTATGGACTTCTTGTTAATTTTTATTGTAGAATTTATGTAGTTACAAACGTGGAATGTCACATTACAAGAAAAAAAAAAACCTCATGGGTTTTGATTATAGTATGAATGACATTCCCATCGCAACTGTAATATTCACTGATGTATAGTTGTCCAGCTATTTCTTACTTTATGAATTTTTCTTTATTATGTGAAGTTACAACATCATAGTGCTAAAAGAAGCATGTAAACTTTACATAATTCAGTTTTCAGTCTTTTTTGTGTTTTATATTTGATTTATCTTACATATCCTATACGTAGGTTGAATCAACCTTTTATGTGTCACAGAAATAAAAATACAAATATTTGGTGAACAATTTCTCCTGCAATCAATGTACGTAACACGTGAAGACAAATTATCATAGATCGAATCTTTTTATTATTCATCAGCTTGTAGACGGATCAGACTTTTATATCATGAAGGTTCAATCGTATCCAGTAAAACAAAAGAAATTATAATGGACTTGTAACTATGTAGATATATCATAATCGCTCTTTCAGACGGACGAAGAAAAGGCCAAAGCTCTACCGGTTGTAATGCCCACCTTTGACAGAACTACGATGAGTCTTCCCAAAGCACAACTGGGATTTATTGATTACTTCATCAATGATATGTTTTCAAGCTGGGATGGTATGTAAACTGCTCACATCCAGTATTACTAATACTGGTATCAATAACAAAATATTTTGTGGTTGTATACTGTTTTATGTTTCATTAAATACTCGAACGTAAACCTTTGATTGCCAAAGAGCTTTAGTGCTTCTCCTACCAAATTATTATATATATATATATATATATCTTTAGTAAATTAAGTTGTTTGCTTTGTTTGTTTGTTGAGAGTAATAAATAAATGTATACAAAATTTAAGAACCCAGTAAGATTTATGAGCATAACGATGCAAAACTACTGGAACGATTCTCAAGTTTACTTTGTTTTAATATTATTTAGAGTCATATTCAATACTTTCGATCATTGTTTAAAAATGCTAGAAATAATCATAACTACATAACTTCTGTTAGGAGCCAGAAAATAACTATAATAGATAGAAAATGAAACTTCATCTGTACATATCCGTATGTCTTTACGCCGGACATTGCCTAGTGGTTAGCGTACTTGGATTGTGGATCCGAAAGTTAAAGTTCGTGGCCCCTTTCCACAAAAACGCACTCCGCAATTTTGGATCATGTGCATGCTAAAACAGTGACGGCCAAATCCTCCTAGTCAGTCAGACAAGAGTAGCCCAAGCTACAAGAGTAGTCTGTCAGTTCAAAATTAGAGATGGCTATTCGCAGATAGGTCTTTGTGTAGCTTTGCGCGATAATTCTCAAACAAACAAAAAAAAGTACATCTTTTGTTGAAAAACGTCCTTTTTGGCCTGATATCGTACTGGTTTTGAACGCTTTGTCATAATACGTTATGCTCTGGAATAAATAATTTATATTTTAGTGACTAAAGCATTGTAGTAATATTAAAAATCAAGTTACCTATAATCACTAACATAGAACGTTTCAAAATCTTGGCATCAATCTACAAAAAGGACTATCTGCACATAGCTGTCCCATTTTGAACTGATATACCAGAGGGAAATCATCCACCGCTTATTCTTGAGAACCTCTTTTTCTTACCGAATAATAGTGTTTGATCGCCACTTTCATAGCTTGCTCACGGCCCCAAAGAGAGGTTACAGCGCTAGAAACCTGGTTTCGATACCCGTGGTGGGTAGAGCACATATGGCCCTTTGTGTAACTTTGTGCTTAACTACAAACAAAGAAACAAACCAAAGAGGGGAGAATTATTTATTTATTATTTTAGCTACAAGGCACTACGAACTGAAAACCCTCAGATTCACAGCCCAAGCATGCTAACCACTTGGTCATGTCCGCCTTTAAAATAGACTGTCATGTGGATACACTATGGGAATGTGAAATCACGTTAGCAAGTGCGCCTACTTGATGTTTGTTAATGCAGTTGCTGAAATACCCTCCAGTTGCTCAGCAGTAAGTCTGAGGTCTCACACCGCTAAAAACCGGGTTTCAGTATTCGTGGTTGGCACATCACACATAGCCCATTGTGTAGCTTAACAACAAACAAACAAAAGTTGCTGATAATCTTGTTTTTATTTTATTAATATGTTCATCATATTCTGCTACCAACGAATCTTATAAGATGAGTGTGTTTCTCAGTCTACTTCTTCTGGTAATCAAGTTAATATACTTTATTTTTATCAATTTTGATGTGGTTGCCTGTTCTTTAACAATTATATGTTTGAATTTTTTCAACAATTATTTTTTGCTGAAAAAAGTCTGTACGATCATTATTCAAAGCAAAGTTCGTGGGGGGAGCCCCCCCCCCAGTGGCACAGCGGTATGTCTGCGGACTTACAACGCTAGAAACA